CCTTAACGAGACCGCGAAGCACCCAATAGAGAGGCGAACGTCCCCAAAACCAGGAAGAAGGTCAATATGATTATGGGAGCCCTCGAATCATGCAACTACTCCGTCCGAGCCCTCAAAGAATACAGCCGGCAGGCATCGAGTTTGCAGCCCCAAACGACAGTAACAACCGTGCCACTGCTGTTTACTGAAGCCGACCTGCGGGGAGTGCACATGCCTCACAATGATTGCCTCGTCGTCGAACTCCAGCTCGGAGATGTCGAAGTAAGCAGAATATTAATCGACACAGGAAGCTCGGTAAACGTCATATTCAAAGAAACATTAAAGAATATGGATTTTCCGGACTCCGAGATCAAGCCTTACATGGAATCATTGACCGGATTCACCGGAGAGAAAACAAGAACAGTAGGAACAGTGAAGATACCCATCTATGTCGGCGGGTCGGCCCGAATGATCAAGTTCTTGGTCCTCAACAAACCGGCGATATACAATGCAATTTTGGGAACGCCCTGGCTGTTCGACATGAAGGCCGTCGCTTCTACGTTCCATCAGTGCGTTATGTTCCCGACCCCATCAGGGATTTTCACCCTCAAAGGAAGCCAGACCGCGTCCCGATTATGCCATCTCACAGAATGCAAACTAAGTCTCGCACGGACGTGCGTCATAAGCCCCTTTCAGGACGGTCGTACGGCCGCAGAGAGCCAGTTCGGTCCACCCAAGCAGAGCCAAGTTGACCAAGTCTGCATCGATCCGACAAATCCAGAAAAGTGTGTCGGCATAGGGGCCAAACTCGACAACAGTATCCGGGAAGCACTTATCAGTTTCCTCCAGAAGAACGTCTCCACATTCGCGTGGAATATCAACGACATGCCCGGAATCAATCTCGACATCACTTGCCACGAGCTAAACATCGACCCCACATACAAACCTATCAAACAGAAGAGACGCAAACTCGGACCCGAGAAAGCGCGAGCAGTAAACGATGAGGTCGAAAAATTGCTCAAAGCCGGTTCGATCACGGAGGTTCGATACCCGGACTGGCTAGCAAACCCGGTAGTCGTGAAGAAAAAGAATGGAAAGTGGAGGATCTGCGTCGACTTTACCGACCTGAACAAAGCTTGTCCCAAAGATATCATCCCACTGCCACACATTGATCGGTTGGTAGAGGCAACTGCTGGCAACGAACTGTTATCCTTCATGGATGCCTTCTCGGGGTATAACCAAATCCTGATGCATCCGGACGATCGGGAAAAGACTTCGTTCATTACAGATCGAGGAATCTACTGCTATAAGGTCATGCCGTTCGGCCTCAAGAACGCGGGAGCTACCTATCAAAGACTCGTGAACCGCATGTTCGCCAGTCAGCTCGGGAAAACGATGGAAGTATATATTGACGACATGCTGGTTAAATCCCTGTACGCTAAGGACCACATATCGCATTTGTCAACGTGTTTCGACATTCTGAACGAGTACGGGATGAAACTCAATCCCGCCAAGTGCACCTTCGGCGTAACAGCAGGCGAGTTCCTGGGTTACATCGTCACTGAGCGCGGCATCGAAGCTAACCCTAAGCAAATATCTGCAGTTCTCGACCTACCTTCTCCGACTTCTAAACAGGAAGTGCAAAAACTTACAGGACGAATCGCCGCACTGAATAGGTTCATCTCCAAGTCGACGGATAAATGCCTGCCATTCTATCAGTTGTTGCGAGGTAATAAGCATCATACTTGGAACGCCGAGTGCGAGAACGCCTTCAAAGAGCTGAAAACGTATCTCTCGACTCCCCCCCATCCTAGCTAAACCCGAGAACGGCGAGATACTATTCTTATACATCGCAATTTCCGCGTCGGCAGTCAGCAGTGTCCTAGTCCGCGAAGACAGAGGGGAGCAACGTCCCATATTCTATGTCAGCAAATCGCTAAGCGACGCCGAGGCCAGATACCCGACCTTAGAAAAACTGGCGCTTGCGGTGGTGACAGTCATATTTCCAGTCTCATTCGATCACAGTCTTGACCGATCAGCCGCTCCGAACCATTTTGCACAGTCCAAGTCAGTCGGGACGACTCGCAAAATGGGCCATCGAACTAAGCGAGTACGATATAGAATACAAGAATCGAACCAGCACGAAGTCCCAAGTACTAGCCGATTTTTTGATCGAACTCCCTAAAGAATTCGTCGTCGAACAGCCGCCCCGCGAACTATGGATTCTGCATGTCGATGGATCGTCATCCCACCGGGGATCAGGAGTCGGAATCCGCCTGAAGTCCCCAAACGGCGAGATCCTCGAACAGTCGTTCCGCCTCGAGTTCCCAGCGTCCAACAATGAGGCCGAGTACGAAGCTCTACTTGCCGGACTGCGATTGGCTACAGAGCTCGGCGTGCGACATCTTCACCCTTTCTGCGATTCGCAGCTTGTCGCGAGTCAATTAAGTGGAGAATACACGACCAAGAACGAACGAATGAACGCATACGTAACAACGACTAAGACTCTCATCTCTAAATTTGAGACATTCGAGCTCACGAAAGTCCCTCGCGGCGAGAACTCATCTGCTGACGCGTTAGCCGCCCTAGCATCCAGTTCCGACCCGCATATGAAGAGAAGGATCCCGGTCGAAAGTATCTCAGAGCCAAGTATCAAAACCGCGCTGGAATGCAATGTTGCTACTCGCCGATGGAACTACGACGAAAATCCGACCTCGGTAAGTACACAAAACAGGAACTCGACCCGGACGAACGAGAATGCCGAGCAGGAACTTAAGGAAAATGCCGAGCAGGCTCCAGAAGACCTAGCCGCCGATCATGACTTCGAGCACATAACCGAAGGAATCCACAGTCCGTCAACTAGCGAAAACCAGGAAAGCGAATCCGCCGAAGATTGGAGAGCCGAACTGCGAGAATACCTCCTCAATGGCAAAGTCCCTGACGACAAATGGGCTACTCGCCGTCTTAAAGTCCGGGCTGCCCATTACACGATGCACAAAGATAAGCTATTCCGTTGGAGTGCATCTGGAGTACTCCTGGCCTGCGTTTCCGGGAATGATACAGTCGAAATCATGCGCGAAATCCACGAAGGGTCCGGCGGCAATCACTCCGGAGGTCGATCTCTTGCTCTGAAAATAAAAAAAGCCAGCTATTTCTAGCCGACGATGAACGCGGACTGCGAAAAGTTTGTCATGAAATGCGATAAGTGCCAACGCCACGGTCCAATGATTAACGTACCAACCGAGCTGCTGTAAACCAGTACGGCCCCTTACCCGTTTATGCGGTGGGCTATGGACATCGTTGGCCCTCTATGCCGATCAACAAGTCAAAAGCAGTATATCTTGATTATGACCGACTACTTCACAAAATGGGTCGAGGCCGAAGCATACTCAGAGATTACCGCACTGGACGTACAAAAATTCGTCTGGAAGTACATCATTTGCTGACACGGGGTCCCGCACGAGATCATCACGGACAACGGACCACAATTTATTGCGGAGACATTCAATGAGTGGTGCGCAAAGTTCAAAATTCGCCTTAGTTTCTCTACCCCGCGATATCCGCAAGGCAATGGCCAGGCCGAGGCAACCAACAAGACAATCTTGGACGGCATAAAGAAACGTCTCGAGGCTAAGAAAGGTACCTGGGCAGACGAGCTCGACGGAGTCTTATGGTCGCACCCAACTACTCCCAGACGATCGACCGGACAGTCACCTTTTTCCTTAGCGTACGGACTCGAAGCCCTCTGCCCGGCAGAAGTGAGTATTCCAACCTTACGGTACTCAGTGCTCCCCGAAGATCCCGATCTCAACGACTAGATGATGCTCAACAACCTTGATAACTTGGAAGAGCAACGCTGTTTAGCTCTCCTCCGAATTCAGAACTATCAAAACCTCGCTGCTCAGTACTACAACAAGAAAGTTCGAGGTCGGCACTTCGATGAAGGCGACCTCGTTTTACGCAAAGTGTTCCAGAACACTGAGGAGCTGAATGCAGGAAAACTGGGAACGAACTGGGAAGGTCCATATCAGATAATGAGAATCGTCAAGCCTGGGGTTTACGAACTCATGCAGCTTGACGGAACACCGATCTCGCGATCCTAGAACTCAGCCAATCTCAAACGATATTATTATTAAAAGTCCCAGCCAACAAGCGCGCGGATTTAAAAAAAAAAAAAAAAAAAAAAACTAGTCCGGTTCCGGCCGAACTCACCCCTGTAAAATGAACTACGAGTGGCTTGATCCCTTACAAAAGGGTACGTAGGCAGCTCGATTTCGAGTCCAGCTACAAATCCAATAAAAATCCATCTTTTTCATTTCTATCACTAACTCCACATATCGACTCCCCGGCCAGGAGATCGAACTCAGTATTCCCCACGAATACAATCTTAAAAGCCGAGATCCGTCTCGCCCGCACCCCCATGGTGCCCACTATTCAAAGCCGGAGCCCAACCCGCACTCACTCTTTCGAACAGCAATCCGCCAACCGCGATTCAAGTTCGAAGAATTTCCCGAGTTCGTCCGCATCGTCACAATAACATCACGAACTCCAAACTTAATCAAAACAAGCCGAACTCCCAACAGTTCGCAATAAAATAAGAGAAAAAGGTTCTAAGTAAAAATCGCGATAAAATAAACCATGTTCATTTCATTAATACCCGAAATTGCCGAACTAGACGACAATAAATACAACGCCTAAAATTGGCGACTAAAGCAAAATCAATAAGTTAAAACCCGAAGCTACGCGGGCAGAATAGTCTTTACAACATCAAAATAAAAACAAGAAAGAAAACTAAGGGAAGGATGATTCATTGACAAGCAACGGACGCCGGACTCTTGAGACTTGCTGCCCGATCAGCTGAGATCGACTTGGAGTTCGAGCCGAACTGATCCAAGCCCTCTGGAACCTGCGTCCCCGGTGGAAGCATAATCCTCGGGATGAGGTCGTCGTCACTCGGAAGCAGGAAGTCCTCATTTGCGAGCTGCAGGAGAGGGACATCATCGACCTCCTTCGTGCAGTTCTTAACCCTCCGCCCGTACATCTCCACGATGTGAGGCGGGACGATCATATTGTGCTCCCTCCTGAGGAAGTCGCAGAAACCGACCAGAGCAGTCGGACTTGTCCATGAAGTCCTTCATCTTGGCAAGCTTCCCCTCGCACTTGCCCCTAAGGGCGGCCAGCATCTTCCTGCCCTTGGACTCGGCGTCTCGGTACTTCCGCTTCTCGAGCTCGCTTGTCTTGAACGACTTGGACAAGGCGTCCACATCCCCCTCCAACTCGACAGTCCGCTTCATCAGGGCCTCGACTTGCTCCTTTAAAGCCGCGTTCTCCTTCTCCTTTTCGGTAAAGGCCAGCACAGCAGCCTCGTACCTTTCCTTTTCGTCCTGGTACGACGTTTCCAGAGACGTCCTCTCGGCAGCAACCTCAGCGTTGATCCACCTCAGCCTCTCGACCTCGGAGTCGTACTCGCGAACGAGCTTGTTGGTATCACAGACGAGCTGAAAATAGAGCCCAAGTATTCAAGACAGAGGGAAACTTACAATGGAGGCAGATTTCGCGACCCGAGCGTAAGACTTGGGCCGGAAGAGTTCTTTGGTCTCTGACATTGGAGACGAGGCCGGCACGATCTGCCTGAAGAGCTCGGCACAGGCGGACGAGTCGTCGAAGAAGGACCGGTCCTTGTTGTACTTGAGCCGGACTGAGAATGAGGACGAGTCAGAGGTCCGACGCCTCTTGGATGACCTCGGGTTCTCGGTCTCGGCAGCCGGATCCGCTGGAGGAACCTGAGAAGCGTTAGAAGATTCGTGAAGGACCAAGGTCCCCTCACTCGCGGCCGTCTCGGGCTCACCACCCTTCTTCCGAGACGATTTCTTCAGAGCCTTGCCCTTCTTCCTACGGGCGCGGTCGGCAATGGTGAGCTCGTCCTCATCCTGCTCACCAATTTCCCCCTCCTCTATTTGAGATTGAGGAGTCGCCTCGGGAACACTAGTTCCCGCCACATCGCCCTCCGGCTCAGCAACCGGGATCAGAGGGTCAACTGGGCCAACCGAGATGTTATCGACCCCGTTCCCGACAGCAGTTTCGACGCCGTCACCAGCCTCGTTCCCATCGAGGCCGACGATGTCGATTGGGGCATTGTCGTCTTCTTCGTCAGCCCCAAAGTTCATAATTGGGATATCCGACCTGTCGAACGCCATCCTCCGACTCCTCTTGTTGCTTTTCCTCGATTTCTTCTTCTTCGGGACCGGTCTCGACGAACTGGGTTCCTTCTTATTTTTAGCTACAAAAAAGGACAAGTGTCAGCCATAGTCTAAATGATAGCAAATTCAAGACGATCCGAGAACTCATACCTCTGTCTTGAGCCCTCTTTATCGGGCGGTCAGTCTTCTCCTGATACGCTAGTGGCCAACGGCGCTGACCGGCGAGACTAAGCTGCTTCGCTAGGTCGGACATAAGAGAGCATTAGATAAACCCCGAAACGTGACGATCTGCACATAGGAAGAGAAATCAGTTAGAATCAGTCAGGAAACAAAGAGATGAACCGTGAGATATGTACCAAAGTCAACACTCCAGCCAGTCCGGAACGTGCTCTCCGGATTCTCAGCAGAAATTGAGTCGACGCGAAGAAAAAAGTAGTTCTTGTCCCAGTCCGTAAACTTGCTGGCCTTGTTCCCGGTAACCAAATCGAATTTCGGATTGCAATTCACCGACACGAACCAGCTTTTGGTCGACGAGACTTTCATGATGAAGAGCTCCTCGAACTGTGCCACATTGATTCGAGTGCGGATATCGTGCCCGAGTTGGAGAATCCCAACGAAGTTTACAATCGACGCCGGCTGAAGTTGGGCTATCGCGCAGCCACGCCGGTTGCAGTACGCAAACAGAAGGCGAGGCAAGGGGAAAGTTAACCCGGCCTCACAGAAATAAGCCTCGTAGACGCAAATAAAATCTTCAGGAGCGTCCCAGGGACGCTCTTCCGGTTCGGCGACTTGGATTATGATTCCAGGAGGGGCTCCACCAACCAGCATAGCAGCCCGGACTGTTTCGGGGTTTGATAGGGTAGACTTCACCGGAGCACAGACACACAGCCGATCCACGATCGACATCATGTCATCATCGTTGGGATCCTGCGCTCCTCCATCCCCGACCTCGCGCAGTGGAGCGTCTTCATCTGTCTTCACGTCAGGCTCCCGTCCCAGGACCAAATCACCAGGAACTTGGCCCTCGGGCTCGCGGAGATTTTGGTCCATCCGTTCCGGAGCCCGAATGGGAACTCGGCTACCAGAGCCGACCTCGACGACCCGGGAGTTCTTCCGAACCAGAGAAGCATTCGAGGAATGCTCCGTAGATCCCGAGCTCGAGATCTCGGTAGAAGTTTCCTCCCTGCGGTGTTCGGGAAGTATCGCGGCCTCGGAATTGGAAGAGGAGTCGGAAGACATCGTCGGAGAGCTCGAGAGAATGATCGTCGACGAGAGAGCACGGCGGACGGCGACCGGAAATTCTAGAGAGAGAAAGAAGAAAAGTTAGAGAAAAAGGAGAGCAAATACCTTGGCAGTAGGAGCGAAAGTAGGAAATGGGGAGAGCTGAACCCTATTTATAGAAAAAGAGCGAATCATCGCGACTTCTCGAGTTCCACGCCTCGTAACGTCTCGATTTCCCGCCTAAACCGACGCGTCTTTTCAGTTCCCCGCAAGCGAAAATACTTAAATACCCTTGCCGAGGCACCAGGGATGACGAAAGGTGTAAACCGGGAACTCAACGTCGCCGACCTCGGCCTATAACCGATCCAACTCTAATTCGGCAAAAGTCAGTCAGGTCCATTTATCGAACTGGGGGGGGGGACATACTGTTGGTGGTACGCTCCGCTCCCCGGTCGGGACCGGTTAAAGACCGAGTCCGGCCCAATTGACCCCGGTTTACGATGGTCTTAGTCGAAATGGGTCTGGCCTGACAGCGCGGCCCATGAGAAAGAAGCCCAGCAACGAGAGGCGGGTGAGAGCCAAACGAGAAGCCCTAGGACGTCTCCTCGTTCTTGTACTATAAATAGTAGAATTGTTACTGTAGAAGGGATCTTTTCGGACCCGGAGAATAGAGACCTGAATATTGTATCGAGTTCGTCGAGAAACCTCCGAACTGAACGAACTGTAATTGAGAACTAAATAAAATCTAATCAACTTAATCTCTTTCGAACTCAAATTACCGGACCGACCTCAAATAGTTGAATACTGTAATCAACAAACACTTACCTCATTTTTCTTACATTCAAAAGAGGACCACGTTGTCCTCTGGCCATGCAATATATGCTCCATTTCAAAAGATGGCCTCTAAACTGCTGCATCATTTTCCTTCACTATATCGACATAAACTCTAATTGCATTAGACCCCAAGTGAACAAAGTGGACATTTTAGTTTGGATCGTTTGAAACCCAACGTCCTTAACAACAACCTGCTTCCTTCTGGTAATAGCCATCACGTTGCACTTCTGATTTTCGTTGAAAATTTCGTCTCCATTGTTATCCTGCCATGTTTACAAAATAAACCATTTAGTACAGTGAGAATATATAATAACCAGAACCTGTTACTGCAGATTTTGAACCTTTTGCTCCAAATGTTTTACCTGAAGCTTGATCAGTTGCTTCAGAATTGTGAATAGGAGCTTTCTGACGTGTTGCATATGTGGTTTTTTCAAATATAACTTTATTAGCAAGCTATGCAACAAAAGACATAAAACAGTCCTCAAGGTCTGTCATATCCATCGTAGACCGCCATATAAATGTTCAGGTACAAGTACTTCATCCACAAATACATTAACCAATGCCTTTGGTCCGAGATAAAGTCCATTAATCAATGCTTTTGGTTCTTGTGTCTGCCAACGGCCTTCATCAACAACTACATCATCTGCAGACAAATCCAGTAGTTTGCATTTGTTGAAGAATATGTTCTTGAGCCCTGTCAAACACATTCAGAAAATAATATTTTTCTGTTACCTGATCATGATTCAAGTTAATCCTATACTCATCTAAGACCAACTCAATAAGCTTACTACTCTGATTCTTGATAACATCAGAATTTTACCATTTTATGCATCACTTTTAATATCTTATGCAGGTGTGTTTACTCAGTTTTCAATGTTTTATAAGTGATTTCTATTTTTTGGATCGTTAAACAACATTTCAGAAAACTTGGGCTTTTGGATTGCATTTTGGAGCAAAAGTATATTTTTGGATAAATTTAGGCCGTCAGAAGTTTGGCAACAAATAAAGACCTTATAAACTTCCGATCATCCCCAAATATAGAGACATTATAGAGGAGACAACTAGATTTCCAATTGACTTGGAATCAATGCAATCCAACGGTTAGATCTCCAGATATCATTAATGCACTGAAGGCAAATTAACACAGTCTAGAAAGGTGGAGTAGCTCTCACCCACGGCCAAAGCATCCTGCACCACGTCCCAGCCTCTCTCACCCGCGGTGGACTTGATTCCGAGCCTCAGAAAACCGAACCAAGGCCCAAGTCATTTCCTGCACTTATTCTACAAACCCTAGACACCTAGAAGAGATGGGAGACTATAAATACATTGTCTTTAGGTCTTTTTTAACCAAACCTTTTTCAAGCTTTAGAGAGAGTACTTCATTTTAGTTTTAGTTTTACTTTTATGCTTTTGTAGAAGGCTTTCTTACCAAACCTGTCTTCAATAAGAAAAAGTTTTTCTTTATTTTCTATCTCTTTACTTTACTGTTTTTGTTTTTAGAACCAATGATGATGCTAAGCTCAGCCATGCCTGAGTAGTTACCTTGTTGGGTAAAGGGGCCATCGAAAGGGACCACATGATCAATGACATCTAGGTTTTCTTAGACTAAGGATTTCTTGTTATTACATGACTCTCTCATTCATCCCGTTTTTAATGTTGTATGTTGGATTGATTTTTCAGTGTCCGATCTAAGGTTGAATCAGAGACACCAGAGTGATGTATCAGATTACCTGAACTGGATCTTATGGATGTAGTTGTTGTAGGAGACGAAAGCTACCTACGGAGGAGGCGTGAGCCGAAATGAATTTCGATCAAGACATGATCTCTTTCAACAAGAGACGAAAGCTTCTTGTCAAGTTAGAGTGATTATATGATTAGGGTGACTAGAGTTGGCCAATCTTATAAGTTTCCATTCTAGTTCCAGAGTCATAGGGAAATCCTTATCTAGATTTCTCATGTTATAGATTTATAACACGGTATTTGTACTCATTTTCACTAGTTTTTTCTTATGCTATTTCAAAGGTTTTAACTAGTTTCAAGTGCTTTTATCATGGTTTTCCTATATTTATATTTTCAAGACTCTTTTCAGGTTACTTAGGCAAAAACAATGCAAATTGGAGAAATATCTACTTTTGGCCAATTTTGGATCGTCAGAAGTTTCACATCCGATGAGGACCTTCTCACCGTTAGATCAAGCTCAACTTTGGATACAAAATAGAGGAGAAAACCAGCTTTCTAATGCAATTGGATTGGACGCAATCCAACGGTTGGATCATAAGTTATTTTAAATTTACTGAAGACATATTCTGCAGTCTCGTGAAAGAGGCTAGAGAATGAATGAAGTTTCGACCTATAAATATGTATTTTAGAAGACCTGATTTGTGTGTTCTCATTTCCCCTTGTTAGGGAGGCACCCAAGTTTTGTTTCTTAGGTTTATATTAGGGAGATAGAGATTTTTCTCTTGAACCTTTGTTATATATTTTCATCTATCTATTCAGTTTATACAATCTCTTTTACTTTACTATTTTTCTATCTCAAAACCAATGATGATGCTGTCAAGCTCAGACATGTCTGATTAGTTACCTTGTTAGGTAAGAGGACCATCGAAAGGGACCCCATAATCTATGACATCTAGGTTTTTTAGGTTAAAGGATTTCGATTTTAAATGATTTTCCCATTCATCATGTTCTTAATGTTGTATGCTGGAGTAGCTAACCAGTATCCGATTTAAGGTTGAATCCGAGACACGAGAGTGTTGTATCTGGGTTATCTGAACTGGATCTTATGGACGTCCCTGTCGTATGAGACAAAAGCTACCTATGGAGGTTACGTAAGCGGAGATGAATTCCGATCTGAAATGCATGATCTTATTTCGGCATGAGAGCGAGAGTTAATTGCCGAGTTTAAGTGAATAGATGATTAGGATGACGAGAGTTGGCTAATCTTATACGTGTCTATCCTAGTTTCAGAATCATAGAAATTCCTTACCTATATTCTTTGTGTCATAGATCATGAACCCTAGAGATGAACTCTAATATCCAACACGTTTTTCATCTGTTGTTCTTGTCTATTGCTTTTAGTTTTATTTCTTGTTTAGCTTAGTAGAAACCGTGACACAAAAACCCCATAAAAACCCCCATTGGTCTTTGACTTCGATTACTAATCCAGTTTGAAGTTTTTGCCGAAAAGATAACTCTCCCTATGGATCGATACCCTAAGTACTACAACGCACTGCTGTGCACTTGCAGACACTAGGGTTTACAAATTTAAAACTTCATTTGCGACCCCTCAACCCTAGCAGCATCATAGATCATGAACCCTAAAGATAAACCCTAAGCCTAGCCCCATTTTTCTATTGTTTTTCAACCGATTTCTTTCAAAGTTTTATTTTCTGTTTACTTTTATTAGAATTAGTGACAACCAAAACCCCTTTAAATCCGATTAGTTCTACAATTTTTTTTAGTATCAGTTAGGAGTCCTCAACACACAAATCTATGTGGATTCGATTCCTAAGTACTACTGTGTTTGTTGTGCACTTGCAGCTTGTCTAGGGTAAAACTTGAAGTTGCCCACTGGACCCATATCAATTTTGAAAAATAAACTTTACCGTAGGCGCAATATCTTCTGGTTGGAGTCTTTTGTCTAAAATAATACACTTAGAGGTAGGCCATGCAATCATCTGTCCAACAGCTTCCTCAACTGTAAACATATTAGTTGCAGGTCTCCAATGAAATGCATCTGGTTTGGTAGCAGCGTCAACTTAGACTTTAATATTTGTTGGGCCTAAGAGACAGTTATTCACTAAGTCATTTGAAGAAATAATGCATCCTTCAACAACGTTTTCAGCAGTATCAGACCAATCAATCAACACACACTTAGCTTGGGATCTTTTGTTCACATTCTACCGTATGGAGCTAAGATGACAATATCTCACAATCCTGTCAATGATCTTAGCAATGCGTAAAATCGGTAACAGTTTTTCTTCAAATGTGGTAGAGTGTTGCTTGGAAATTGTATCATAATAACTGGAGCTCGCAGGGTTTTTTTTTATGATGAATTTGGTGCATGAGGACATGGGTATCTCTACCAGTGATTCTCTTGGTGCTGGTCTGGATCAAATAAGAGTAAGAAGACAGGGACTGAGAAGAAGAAGAAATGACACAACTGAGATCAAGCAGGGACT